TTTTAATATATATTTCAAATTAACATTAAGAACTGATTCATTAATAAATAAGTATTATTTTGTAAATCATATTTATAATTCAAGTCTTGAAATTGACACCTAAAAAAATTAATTTTTTCAAGTGTATCAACTATCAAGTCAATGTGTGAGGTGCAGTTTTCAAATGACAAAAATATGATATAAGGATCCAAACTTACACAAAATTCATAATTTTGGACCTGAACTTCAATTGCACTCAATTAAGGTCCTAAACTCCACAAAATTCTCAAATAAGGTCCTAATTGGAGGGAAAATTAACTTCCGTCAAATCTTCTACACACCGTTAATATTCCGTCACACCGTTAATGCCTGTCCCCCTAGTTTCTTTTTTTTCCCTCTCTTTGTCCTTTCCCTTTCTCTTTCCTTTCCCCTTTCTTCTTCTCTTTCAACTTCCACTGGGTTCTTGAACCCAACGAACCTAGTAACCCAGTTGGGTTCCATTTTTTTTTTTTTGCTCTCTTTCCTCTTTCTTCTTCCCTTTCCTTTTCCCTTTCAACTTTTGCTGGGTTCGCGAACCTAGGAACCCAGTAGCTGATGGGTTCTTCCAAGCTGGGTTCGAGAACTTAGTGGGTGGTGGGTTTCTTCCAAGCTGCGTTCGAGAACCCAGTGGCTGGTGGGTTCACGAACCCAGCAGATCTGGTTCGGGAACCCAACGGAGAAAATGGCATTGTTTTGATTTTTAGTGAGGGAGCATTTAGAGCTGCATTTGACGTGAAACGCAGAGTTGATTGCTTATGCAAACATGGGTTAACTGGTAGAGAAGCATTTAAGGTCTTATGGAAAGAGCCTAGGGTGATTGTATACAACATAGGTGACATTGAGAAGAAGATTGAGTTATTGGTGAATAGGATGAACTGCAAAATTAGCTGCGGGTTCGTGAACCCACCAGCCACTAGGTTCTCAAACCCAGCTTGGAAGAACCAGATCTACTGGGTTCGTGAACCCACCGGCCATTGGGTTCTCGAACCCAGCTTGGAAGAACCCA